GTCTAACATGGCAACTGTGAGCAGGACCTGAGCTGGCTATCGCCAGGGTACTGATCGTTGTTCCTGAAAGAATGTACACTATATAGTGGCCAGTAAGTGTGACATATTGAAGATTTAGACTCGATTAGAGGGGATTGTACAAAGACATAAAGAGATAAGATTTGTAGATCAAGTACCTCAAATTTATGGTACAATACCAAATAAAAGATTAAAGATAATCAAAATGGACATGGTCATAAATATCAAGTGAACCAAATTTCATCTTCACAGTCATTTTATCCTAAGGCTTGCAACAATACTATTACTGTTATATACTGAGCCTGTCCAACTTGACTCCAAGGTGAATTTTAAATTCCAAATGGGGGTGGGACACATTCTTTTGCACTTAGGAATGTTATCCAAAATTCTGCTAGAAAAAATCCTTTGAATCACAACTACATGTAATCAAAATAAAAAGTTGACTTGAAGGGAACAGGGCAAATTATTCCCATGTAACTAATAAAGTAATATATGGCATTATAAACTTGTTAGCACACTATTATTGATTGGACAGAAGAACTTTCTGTATTAGTAATACTAATAGGAACATGTGTTCTTGAACTGTTGAAGTTGATGAATCACAGGGTATGCTGATGGGATACCGTAACAGTAAAACAGATTTGTTTGATTAGCACGGGCAATCACGACCCGAGTGATTGATTTATCAGTTTTTCAACATTGATTGTCATCATGATCTCTTTTGTATCAAACATGGCATCAAACCATCCAACCATTGAACTGATGATGCTACTGCAATCATTGAGAAGTCATAATATTATGCATGTTGAACCAAGGAAAATTGCTTGCAGCATACCTCTCTGGGTCTTCCATTCTCTCTGTATCTTCTCTGTCCTCCTAAAACTAGTCAAACTCAAAGGTCCTAAAAGTAAAATACAGGGGATTGTAGTCAGATAGTGAAAAGCAATCAAATCCTTAACTTAGCATTGAACCCGACAACATTTTGTAACTAAAGACATCTCCGTCACCATAGACTGTAGGTGAGTCAGGTTCCAATAATTCTAAACTTACTAACTCTACTGGTATACATGTACATTACTGAATAGATTCGGCAAGAACCAGGAAATGAATACCATTTTCTTGTTGCATTCTTTAATTGCTCACAACTGAAAAGGAGCCTGTGAAAAGACCTGATACACATTATTTGACTTCAAGCATAAAATAACAACCTGCAGTATATAAACTGTCACTTACTCTGAAACAGCACTATACACAGCAACTGTAACATCATACAAGTATATACATGTAAGTCCAAATCTTCTCATACCTTGATATTCCTTGATACACCGTACAGGAGAGAAGGCAACTTTCAGATGTACAATGCGGAATGTGCTAAAAAAAAGGTAAAGTGTAAGTAGGAGGAATGGTTGGTGTGCCAATTAGATGGGGAGGGACACATTATTGTTATTGATATGCGTTTAGTTTGGATTTCTGAATATTATCATGACTGTAATATTTTATTTTCAAAAACATCTGGCCTAACTGCCTAATATCATTGTCTGTTCAAAGTGAAATGTGTCGAATCAGAAGTCAGTGCTTCGTTAAAAAATTACCGCAGATGGAAGTGGCAGAAGTGACAACATTGCATCAATCGCTTTGTCTGGTCCAGCTTGCTTATGTTAGTCAGTAAATTAACCACTACTCCAAAAGGTCCAGGACCACTGAGTCAGTTAGCGGCTTGAATTTAGAACCACAGTGAGTGATCAGTGTTATATGTTTCATGAAACATACTGAAGATTCTTGTTCTGTATCATATATGACCAAACTTTGGCAGTCATACAAATACATGACATTTCACTGGATTACACTGATCACCTTAAAATTTTGTAACCAACTAAAGGTATTTAAATGCATACAGCTGAATTTTTTATTGCCTCAGATCCAATTGAGATTAAAGTTAAGAAAGGGAGAAATGGTGCAATTGACTTTGCTAATTTATTAACCAGGCGCAAGGACTTTCCATAACACACCCAGTGTGTCTATAGTGCACGGAAATGTGTTGTGCGTGTTCAAAAATCTGATCCAACAATATTGAAAGGGAGAAGTTTATACTAAGTGTGGGAGGTGGGAGGGGGGCAGTTGATTACTTGTAACTTTATCAAACGTGTTATCACCAGGATTTCATAAATGAAGGTACACTATTTACCAACTACCTTAGCAAATGTCTACCTAATGTTGCTGCTGTTGATCATAAACTAAAACGAAAACATTAACCTGTCTGGTCATCAGACGCTCGCAGTTTCGCTGGGCATAAATCCCCCGCAGTACCCGGGTCCGGCTGTGTGGTGCTACATGTGCTACTCTCCAAGCAGAGGTTTGGGGTTATTTTGGGCGTGTTTTTAGGCTTTTTTATCGGAGTTTCTCTTTTACACTGAAAAAAAATCCAGTGCAAAAGAGAAACCCCGATTAAAAAGCCTAAAAACACGCCAAAAAATAACCCAAACCTCTGCTTGGAGAGTAACATGTGCCGCCGCCCGGCTCAACTTTGCGCCCGGGCTGCGTATCCCCTAAGGAATCGCTAAGTTAAAGCTCACTGTCTGCTGAGACAGAGGAAAATACCACTTGGCGAGAGTCTGATGACCGGATTAAGTATTATGTTGCACCAAGAACATTCTAGAATGTCCTTGTTCTTACGCAGTAATTCAGAACAGAGTCGGTAAAATAATACTGCAAATAACGTTTCCTCTATGCAGAGCGCAACATGATCTGTGCGTGGAACGTTCGATTCGGAGTTTAGAACCACCTCCGCGTAATTTACGGCGCGACATGCCTGCAAACCTCGAGCAAACCTGGAAGCATGGGGAGTCCAACCTACCTCATTGACGGCTCAAAATGACTGTAACGGCTTTCCCGACAATCGTGTTTTAGGGATTTTTGAAAAATGCGTTTGATTTTGAATTATGGGTAATTGAGTGCGAAAAAAGCAAAAAAAATCGATTTTTTCATCTATTTGTCGACAAAAACTATACTTTAAGTCAGAAATTAAAAAATCCCTAAAACACGATTTTTCATCTTATTCCTAGTCGTCGAAAAATATAAAAATCAGTGATCTTGCGTAATATGTGTAGCCAGGTTTGCTCGGTGATTGGCTAAAATATGGCGTTGCGAAATCCCGAAAATTATCGACTTTTTTAACGAAATCCGAAAAAATCATCCATTTAGCGCAAAAAATCACCATCGAATGTATGTAAAGACGATAATTTTATTTTATTTCAATAAAATTTTCCCTTCGATACTAGTTTGTTTATTTTCAAATGTTTTACGGTTAGCCCAAAATAGCGTCTTGTAACCCGATACTTTATCGAACGCCCCCCGCGATGGGAAAGAATACGGTAGTGACAGACCACCGTGTAAACTTTAATAGCGTCTTGAAAAGATTACTAGCAACTAGCCTCACCCTCAGATCTGACAACCTCGTCTTGCCATTTAAGGCGGGAAGTGGCAAGGCGAAATCCTCTCTTTTTGTCTTTTCCTGCAGCACTAGGGTGAAGTGCTCCTTGCTTTTGCTTTGTTCTGTATGTGAAATATGGGTAGACAAAAGGTATAGATCCAGTTTGACTCACTGAATGAAAAGCTACTCTTCCGATTGTAGTGACAAAGAGGACAGATCATAAATACAGGTTTCAGAAATTTCCTAAGATCATTTGGGTAGGCACAAAAAACAGAATCACTGAGCGACACAGCTGAAATCGAACACCTTGTAGTGTATGAAATATTTAGTTCGTATTTTGTATGACGACCCAAGCAACATCACGGAGACCAATTATTGTGCATGTGGTCTCCAACCTTTTATAAATTTATGAATGTATATAGTTTGTCGCAATGTGATGTCATGCACGTCAGTTTGGTTGTAGCATCTAAGTGTGCGCCTGCGCGAGGTTTGGAGATGATGTAATGTATATATAATGAGGGGCAGTTCCCTGCGCCACCATGCGGCCGCGTGGGTGCACTGCAGCAAAAAACTGGCATTACTACTTTTAACCAATCATAGTCCGGAATTCTGGTCACGAGGTACCTGATTTCGGGAAGGTTCCGGCAGCCATCTTTGCTGGCTTGTAGTTTGTGATGGTTGTCCGAGTTTTTGTGGAATTTTAACCGTAATCGACTCATTTGAAGTGCAGCGTCGGTGTCGGACGATGCAACAAGTTCAGAAGAGGATTTTGAGTGTTTCCTGGGTTTTCCAACCGGTAAAAACGACTGAAATACCCGCTTAGATCGATCGTACTCCCCCCAAGAGGCTGTCAATCACCATCGCATTTTTTTGTGACGAGCTAGAGGTCGACAGAAAATGGTAAGTTTCACGATATTTTCAGCCATGTTGCCTAATTTGCATATTCTAAATCACACTTACGGTCTAATATAACCGGAAAATATTGCTTGATTTGGGTATTTTTCCGTGAATTGACGTTTTAAACATTTGTTTTTGTCGCCTGGAATGCGGAAATCCTTTCAGCATTCGTCGTAAACACCGATATAGTATGTGCCGCCCCCCTCCCCCTTCGAGTTTACATGTAGTTGTTAAGTATATAGTCCACCATCGGGAAAATGTTAGTTCTGACCAACCTTTTGAAGATCAAATCAGCTTGTTTATATTGTCTTGCGTGCTGATATTTTCCTTGCAAATCAGCATGTTTTATTATTTCCATGTCAACAGCATAGAAGAAATTACAATTTACACAGACTGATAGAGCATATCTCAAAAGTATCAAAAATATTATGTACAAGTATCTAAAGCATGAAACTGTTTGAAAGAGCTTCTTTTGAATCATCATCTGACAGAAAAAACAGTGTTACAACTTACAAGTGGAATTTTCAATCATACTCAACAGTGTAATGAAACTGTTAATTTACAAAACTATATTTACCTATAGTAATAGCTAATAGTACAACCACATATTGTACCAAATGCATTATACGACTGTTACAAAATTTACAGAGGAATTATTATTTAGTGATTAGGTGTTGCAGTGAACTGTATATAAGATAATATTCAACTTGTATACATGTGATTGATTGTAACTGTTCTTATGATAACTGTAATATTAAAAGGAGTTCTAAGTTGTCTTTTTTCTTGGTACAGGATCAGGTACACCACCAGTGTGGTCAGGGCTGACACCGATGAGGTGGTTTGTCAGGGTGGACCGAAGCCTCGCCACCGGGTCAGCGATGCCACATGTTGTCCTGCCGATGTTGTTGAATAGGGCGTGGACTTGCTCCAGGCCTTGTTCACCCAAGAAGCCAAGCCCAAACCTCCACTTCCTGATGCAGGGGACAACGTGATACTCCAACATGTGCATCTTCACAGGGACCGACCCATGTGGTATGCTTTCCCTGTACATGTCCATGAACTTTGTGATGGCAGTGTCTGGAGTGGTGTAGAGAGAACAAAATCAAAGAAAATAGCAACAAAAACAAAAACATTCATGATCTATAATATACCAATTGAAAAAAAATTCTTACCAAGCTCATCAATCGCCCTATCGTCCATCTGTCCACCATGAGAGTACTTCTTATGGCATGATGCAAACCGCTCAAAAAGCCACTTGTACTTTTGAGCGGTTGCTTTGGCATTTGGGACGAGGGTGATGGGCAGGTCATCTGGATACTTGTCCATCAATGAAGAGACTACTGACGATGTAACAGATGTGAGTTCATCTATGGCTTTATCCTGTGTGTGGAAATAAATTGTTTTTAGAGGAGTAAATTCAAAATTTGTAAATGATGGGATTATTTTAGTACTAGAGCACAACTGAAATGAAAGAAGAATTACCAACCTGAAGCATTGTGTTTACATGGTTGCCAATGAAGGATTGGCTGTGGTAGGCCTGCCGCTGAACTCTGAACTTCTGAAGCACAGGGTCCAGCTGCGAAGTCAGTGGACCCTGTCCAACCTTGACTGATGCCTTCTTCCTTACCTCAGCGGCCTTCTCCCTCTGAAGTAGTTGTGGATAAATTTACATTAAGAATTAGAAAAAGAATTGTGCTTCATTGTAGCATACACGTCTAATCCTTACAAAGGCTAAGATTTATGCATCTGACTTCTTAGTGTACTTACCAGCTTTTCCTTCTCCTCATATAGATCCTGGACTGTGCTGCAGGCCTCCTGAAACACAGCCTCTGCCATTTCATCCCCAGCACCGCTGCTGTATGCCAGCCATGCAAGCTGACTCTCCTCCTCTTCAAGTTCCTCCTCAAGGGCATCGGCTTTGTCGTCCAGGGCCCGAGCCTCATCGATGGCAGACACGTACGCCTTGAATCGGCCGAGGTGCTCGTCTGCCAACAGCTCCTCCTTGGTGACCTCCCCTTCCTCCAGGACTGCTGTGAGGTAGGTCTGCAACTTAAGATCTATATCGTGGAGCTCATCCTCCATGAGCTTAAAGAGCTTCAAGTATATGCCCAGGCTTATGTGTAGACCAGGTATCACAACCTGTAAAAAAGTGTAAACACAGTCAGTGGTGGCTTAAACCATTATAGATATGCCCAAGGAATCAAGGATAAGAATTTAGATGTACATGTATTTGCTGCAAACATGTCATTTATATTCAGACTAACCTGGTCTATGGGCACGTCAAACATAACCGGTGCAATGGCATTGTGGTACAGCTTGGCGAGTTTGTGCGCCCCTTTGCCATCACGCACAATCTTCAGGTGGTCTTCAGCCAAGCTGTTCAGAGTTCTGGGCGGGATTCTCAGGCGACAGTTGTCTTTGTCCCTGATCTCCTCCTGCGTGATGTGGCACCACAAGCAAGGAGTCAGTCCTGTTGTAGATAGATAAGACTGGTTTAGAAAGACTAACTAGTACAAAAAACTGTGGGTACGGCATACATGGAGAATAATTCAAACATATCATTAATTGTTAAACCAGATAGTGGGTGTGAGTGAGTGGTTG